GACATGTTGTATAAAATTACAAATTTTTGATTCTACTCCCATACTTTACATGTTTTTCCGTAATTTTTTTTTCAATTTTTTTACATATCACGTGAAAAGGGATTAACTTGATAAACATGACACAATTCCTTACGTGAAAAACTCAGCATAATATTTTACTAGGTTTCACATCTATGCGTGCACAATGTCAATTCGATCATTTTAACGTTTTTAGCCAGTTTCTTACTTTAAGTAACTCCAAATGCAATATTTATCACACCATCCTTGGTACAATTTTAATAGCATGATTAACGTTATGTAACATTCGATAACTCTATCTCACAAGCCCACAATACTTCCCGCAATTCCCACCTTTAAGATTCCGCGAACACAGACATTCTTGCAATGATTTCAAACTGGTCTTTACGTACCGGCTTTTTGCGGCCGCAATCTAATCATTGTCGCATAACAATGCCTCGAAAGTTGGTTAGAAAGCGATAACGGTATGTTACGATAAGGTGGTCTCGCTATGTTGCAATATATTCTATTTGTAACAACCGATTTAGATGTATGGTTTTGTTTGTTGATATTATTTGTTTGTTGGGAATTGTAACAGTTTAATCGGGAAATGTACGACTATTCGATAAGATAGAACAGTTCTTAAATTCCTACTGGTTGATTTTTTCACTTTAGTCGTTTGGGAGGTCCTATTATTTTGTGCATATTGAATGCATGCGAGAGTGTCTGTAAACGATAATTGGTGCTTTTGTAATTTTCAATATTTGCAGGAATCTACTATTCAAAATGGAGCGATTCTTACGGCTTGGTAGTCTCAGTTCTCTCAGCGCTTCTCAGGTGAGTAGTAGGTCGACTCTTTTACTATTTGATAATTTGCGTTCTTCGGAATTTTTAGACAATGTCAATAATTATGAACTAATTTAATTTATATTATTGCATATTCATAGGGTGATAATAAAATTGATAGTAATGGTAATCGATATTTTGAAATATGTAATCAAGAAATCCTCACATATTTGAATGCATGAGTTTCTGGAAGCGATAAACTATCTATATAAATTTTAATTACAATACAAGTAGAAGAAAAGATGAAAAAAATTAGTTTTTTGTTCTGCTTTTTAACTTTGTCTTCAGAATTAAAAGAAGAGCAGAGTTGAGGGACAGAACTAAAGATAAATTTTTCAATTTTCTGCACGGGACTTGATTTGTAAATAGTGTAAATGGCTAACTTTAGTTTGGAAATAACAATCCAGTGGACAGCAACCAGGTTGATACATCGGAAACAGTCTACATTTCGTCTTTGGCTTTACTTAAAATGCTAAAACATGGCCGTGCTGGTGTACCTATGGAGGTAACTTGTTTCGCTAAATATCAAAAACATAAAATTTTTCGCGCATTATTGATTTATGGAACAAAAACTGTTGTACTGATATTTCCATCCAATGAAATTCTGTAAATTATCAGGTTATGGGTTTGATGCTTGGCGAATTTGTGGATGAGTATACTGTGAACGTCATAGATGTATTTGCGATGCCGCAATCAGGCACAGTAAATTATTTTTGTTGCTATAAACTGCCTATTATGCTTTTTAGTTTTTGTGAAATAATTAATATTATTCATTTATATTTGTTTATAATGCGCAGTTTTGATTTTCTTCGAATTATTTCAGTCTTTTCTCTACATGTCATTTCTACATGGTTATTATAGGGAGTGTCTGTAGAAGCTGTAGATCCGGTGTTTCAAGCTAAAATGTTAGATATGTTAAGACAGACAGGCCGACCAGAAATGGTTGTTGGATGGTATCATTCACACCCAGGATTTGGGTGTTGGTTATCAGGTGTAGACATTAATACTCAGCAGAGTTTTGAAGCTCTTTCTGAAAGAGCAGTTGCTGTAGTGATCGACCCCATTCAGTCCGTCAAAGGAAAAGTTTGTTCAATTCAGTTTGCTAGGGAAACTGACTTATTTCGTTAAAACCATACCGTACTTGATTTTAGGGTATGAAATCATATTCATTTAGGTTGTAATAGATGCATTTCGAACAATTAATCCGCAGTCAATGGCGTTAAATCAAGAACCACGTCAAACTACATCGAATCTTGGTCATTTGCAAAAACCGTCTATTCAGGCACTAATTCACGGTCTTAATCGACATTACTACTCGATTCCTATCAACTATCGGACTCATGAACTTGAGCAAAAAGTAATAATTGTTATTCACATGCAATGTAGCTTTTTAGTCAGTAATATCATTTCACAATGTTGGTTTCGTCATATACATATCAGTAATATGTATCTATTTAGATGCTGCTGAATCTAAACAAACAAACATGGATGGATTCTCTTGGCTTGGAACATTTCTCTGACCATTGTCAGAAAAATCAAGCATCTATGGATAAAATGTTAAAATTAGCGAAGCTTTATCGAAAGGTTTGTTTTTCGTCATCAATATTGCTCCAATTTTTCTTATTTTTTTTCAAAGTTACTGAAGACTTGGTTTTAAGGATCTTGAGGAGCAAGAAAAAATGACTGAAGAGCAGCTTGCAATTAAAAATGTTGGGAAACAAGATCCAAAGAGGCATTTGGGTGAAACGGTGAATGAAATGCTTGCTGACAATATTGTTCAAAGTTTAGCATCGATGCTAGATACATCATCCTTCCAATGACAAAATTCTGTTAAAAACATTGATGAGTGACTGTTTTGAGCAAAATTTGAAAACTGCTATTCTTATTGTGATTTTTTGTGGTCGTCAGGAAGTTGTTTTTCGACAAATTCCTCCCTATACTGGATGCATACAATCGGTCGAGGTATTCAGTTTGCAATGGTTTTCACTTTAACCTTTATCTAATCTGTTGCATTAGCCAATGATAAAGGATAAAATTTAAAATGTTACGACAAGTTTTACAGTGAATGTTTGTTACTTTAGAAGGTTGTATTTAAATTAATCATTATCATTACTTTGGATAGAAGGTGGCTTGAAATGGCTTCATAATTTTCTTCTCTTGAATTCTGTTAACTTTTTCGTTTGAAAATGTTGTAAATTTTGTTTGAATAAATTTATTCATCTATTCTTTCGTGCATCAACTAAACGAATCTTCTGTATCATATCTTTGTCTAATCACTGCTAAGTTTGCCTGTTATATCGCTCGGAGATTTGCATCTTTATGAATTTCGTCAGTACTGCTGATAACTTTGGAAGAGATTTTTTGCTTATTCTAAAGTTGTATTCGATTGTGTTCATTGTAACTGCAATGTCAGGGAGAAGAAATTCCTAAATCAATTCATGAATTAAATTATCAGGTGTAGGAGGATGCGAAGACTCGTCAGTTGGGAACAAGTTCGTGGGAAGCTGACTCGTATTTCGCTTATGGGTAGTGAATTAGAAGGTGATGTTCCGCGAATCTTAGCCAGTTCTTCTGGTTTAATTATTTTAATGGTCCCAGGTGAGCGAGATTTTTGGGTATCTGTTCATTTCAGCTATAAGATGGCAATTTGAGATGTATTGCGGAATGGAAACGAAGTATTAATGTTGTCTCGTGATGATATGTAACAAATATACCTGTAGCTCTGGGGAAGAATGTAATTACGAAGATAGTTATCAAGGATGAAGCAAATTTGTACTTTTATGTCTTCTAGCGTTTTGATTAATGACTACATTATTAGGTATATTGTCCTCTCAAATCAGTGATCAAAAACTGGATATTAGCTTGTTAATTATAACCGATTTTGTGCAGTAATGATGTTCAAGTTGCAATTT